TGACGGAAAGTAGCAACTTCCCTTGTGCCCAGTGGGTCGTGGAAGGAAATGTACGAAGCTAAATTCGGCCTATCTCTGGACGCGGAACACTACTTCAAAACACGTGGATAGCCGGCAATTAAAGGCACATTGACGACAAATTGCTTTAGAGTTGGTAAGACCGGTGACTACGGCACTCAAGAAACCGGAAACAGTTGCATGGATACCTTAATCAAATGCTGCTTCCAGTGGATTCGGAATGGACTGCCAATTGTATGCCCGTAGGACTAATATCACAGTACAAAATTTTTAACGCAACCAATTAAATCTAAGGCTACTACGGAGACGAAAACTCGATATCATTGATGTAAGACTGAGACCACAAAAAATCTAATACCCTAATTTGGATAACTTTGATGAATTCTCACTCAAACATATTTTAGCAATGAAACGGTAGCGTCGCGCAAGAAAGGCTAGGGCTATGAAAGACCAGTAGTCTCACCTACCCAGCTTGGTTTGTACACATCTGGAACGTTTCTGTTCGAGACAAGTTAGGTGAGCTCAGGCACCAGTATAGCCGGCACCAGTCCGTTATCTCAATCGCAGGATCCTGACTACATGATACTGATCTGAAGCAAGCCCTTAAGTAAGGGCTTGGCGCTCGGGTCGATGCAGGGCATTGAATCATGGGCCGAGCAGGCTCTGTTCTGTCAGTGTGGAGTGCAACGGCTGACCAGACACATACGTACAACCCTCAGTTGTACGACTAAAATGAGCCACTGGGAACGCGTAAGCCATGAAAGAACGTAGACGAATGTGAATATTGATTGTTGTGGACTGGCTCCGTGACTGATTGAATTAAAGCAGTTGACTATGACTGCTTAAAAAAAGGTTGCAGTTAGGGCCGCTCAGGTCTTGTAGTAATGCTGCTATCTACGAATGGTTGGTTCCAAAAAGGCAGATACTCACTACCCGAAGTCACACTGTGCGCGTCAACAAGTGTCCTGCCGACAAGACCATTCAGTACGAACATGCAGAACTGTGACGAGGTCTATTAAAACATGTTTGAACGACATCAAGTTTGCTCTGGACCGCATAATGGCC